CATTGATACTGCCAACAGACACAGTCAAATTGCAAACTAGTAGAAAAATTACCAGGGCTACCCCAGCCAGAATGAAACCAATCACAAGTAACAAGTAGTCATCAGTACATGATTCACATTTGTTGGAGCCTAACATGAGACTAAGTCCTTGTTGACACTCTCCACAAAGAATACCCGACCTACCATTAGTGCACTGAAGATCAGGATGAGTGAGATTGAGGTAGACAGTAGATGTATTGCAATAATCAAATGGGCAGTTGTTATGAGCTACTGTACAGTTATACTCTTCATCATAGCTTAACCAGTTATTGCCTGATCTTCTAATGGGATGAGGCATCCAATGGATGCTACACTGTGTTCCATTAATACTCCTAATGACATTGCTACACTGACATTTGTTTTCTGATAGAACAAGGCCAAGGGGGCACGACAAGAAACTAACACTAATTGATAAAGAAGAACCTTGAAGATAACTTCTACCAGGATTTTCTTTATAATGTAAAAAGAACGATCCCGTTTTGTTATTACTATGTGGTTCAATTTTATACATAAAGTTCTTACAGTGCTTACCACTGGTCTCTTGGTTAGTATCTTGTAACAAAACATCAATATAGTTACCTTTACTAGTTACTAGTTCCCCAGGACTAAAACCACCACATACTCCAACAGTAGCTAATGAGAGATAAATAAATTGACCTGGATAAATCTCTACATCAATTTTCCGGACATGACAAATGGTTTCATTGCTCATTCCACAAATGCAGACACCAATCGGATCTGATGTAATTTTTGATAGGAGCTTGTTTTGGTAACTTGAAATATTAAGCATTCGATTTTGTTGACAATTTACCTGTTTGCGAAAAAGATGGTCTGAGCTGGTTACTTTTTTGCAATTTGTACCAAAGGGTTTGTAGCAGCAGTCCCAGTAGAAGCCACCATAAATGTCATTACCACCAAGCTCTCCATAGTTATCCCAGAAGTATGATGTAATTTTATGCTTATATTTTAAAGTGCAGTCTCTATCCTTGTTGTTAGACAGTGGATCATTATCAACATATATGGCACCACCAACTCCTTTGGCTACATTACGAGCAAAAGACACTCGTGCAATGAATGAAATAGTGATACCTTGACTGATCCAGAGTCCACCTCCGTTATCTGGTGATGCATTGTCAAAAATGCGACTAGGATGTTCAGCAAATATAATTTCTGCTTGACCTTTGATTCGAAACCCAGTGTTACTGTTATTAGTTATTGTACAGTTGATTAAAGTGACACTTGTTTTAGCACTGTTCACTATTATTCCATTGGTCCCATTGGACACTTTTAAATGTTTAAAGTAGCACAAGTCGCAGTAGCCTATGTGCAATCCACCTGTATTCATCAGTGAAACATCAGTAAAGTATACATGGCCTAAATATGCCCTAATTAGCAAGCCTGTAGCAGAATTAGTAAAGTATACTCTCTCTAAAAATATTGGATTGGCTTCTGATGACAACGTGACTCCAGATGCATTGAATATTTTGACATCAGTGAGCATTATATTTCCAGTGAAATGAACTGATATTTGAGCGATAGCGTCATTGCTGCCTAATGTAACATTGCTGAACTCTAAAAAACTTTTACTGGATTCTTTAATTACACTGGAACTGATATAAATCCCACTATGATCCCAGCATATGATGATGGAATCTTTAAGAGTAAAAGTGAAGTTATCGTAAGGACTTATGAATGAGTAAAAACACGTTCCTATCCTACTTGATACCACCACTACATCTTGTATAAAGATGGTATCTGATATGTGTGTTAAATGAACCATTGTAAGAGGAGAATTTGCAATAAACTCAGACTGCAAAATAGTCACAGATGAAGACACACTTATAGATAGTGTTTGTGAAGAAATTTTACTAACTGTAATTTCGGTGGTATTTTCAATAATGAGCATAGTAAGGTTTGCAATTTTTAAACTTTCAATGAACAATATACTAACACTATTTATTTTAACTTCTTCACAGTTTATCATTGCTCTAGACTCAAACTGACTCTCAATGCCTCTAAGAGTCACATAACTCACTCCTTTTATTTTAAACTTGCCCTTGAAGCTGTGCTCTCCTGGTAAGAAGAGAAATGTGACATTGTTGGATACAGTTGACCAGTGAGATTGATTAGCATAGTCATTGAGTGACTGACAGTATTGCTGATGAACCAGAGGACAATCAGTACCAGTAGCAGTAACATAATAAACTAGTCCTTGTCCTTCTTGACAATAAGCAGAGCTAAGAATAATAAAAAGAAGATAAACGAATGATTCCATAATCTCAAACAGGATGAATACTGAG